ACAGCAATTTTGTGATGCTCTTTTGAGGAAAATTTTTATTTTTTGCTACCCATCTTTGGCCAAGTGCCAAACCTGCAAATTCTGTCCATTCAATGCACATCACTAAATATATTCAGGAATGGAGAGTTTGCAAATGTCTCTTTGTATGGTTGATTTCTGTCTTTCAGTGCTGCAGTTTAAAATTCTGTCTGTGTTTAGGCCTCTGTACGTTTTCATCTTTCATCTGTTTTCATTTCTGGCTGTTTTTATAATGGTGTTCAGCTGTTCTTATTTTTTTTCCCCTGACGTCACCTTGATGATTTATTTAGGAAGGGTTTTTGTCAATTCCTGTGTAAGTTTTTTTTCTTTTCTTTTTAATTCTTCCAAAAATTGGATTCCAATATTTTAGCACACAGACAGAGGTTCTGAAAGCATACAGACTTCGTTTTGTGGAATCATTTCATTCTCTCCCTCTCTCTTTTCCTCTTTTCCAATGTGTGCATTTTTCCATATTTGTTTCTGTAGGAAATCACAGCCATCTGTTTTGTCAGCTGGATAGAAAAGAAAAGAAAAAGAAAAGGATGAGAGAAAAGAAAGAAAGAAAGAAAAAAGAAAGAAGGAAATAAAGAAAGAGGAAGGAAGGAAGGAAGGAAGGAAGGAAGGAAGGAAGGAAGGAAGGAAGGAAGGAAGGAAGGAAGGAAGGAAAGACGAGTGAGGGAAAGAAATAAAGGAAAATAAAGAAAGAAAGAATGAATGAAAGGAAGGAAGGAGGAAAAAGAAAGAAAGAAAGAAAGAAAGAAAGAAAGAAAGAAAGAAAGAAAGAAAGAAAGAAAGAAAGAAAGAAAGAAGGAAGGAAAGACAATGAGAGTGAGGGAAAGAAATAAAGGAAAAGAAAGAAAGAAAGAATGAATGAAAGGAAGGAAGGAGGAAAAAGAAAGAAAGAAAGAAAGAAAGAAAGAAAGAAAGAAAGAAAGAAAGAAAGAAAGAAAGAAAGAAAGAAAGAAGAAGCAAGCAAGAAGAATGAGAAAGGGAAAGAAAGAAAAAGAAGAAGGGGGGAAGGAAAAGAAAGAAAGAGAGGGAGGAAAGAGAGCAAGAATAAAACAGAAAGAGAAAGAAGAAAGAAAAAGAGAGAAAGAGAGAGAGTTTGGGAAGTTGTTAATCGCAGCCTAAATCAACTAGGGAAATCATAATTTTTTTTTACCGCACCCCATCTTTTCCCCAACGCCACATTCTTTTTTGCTCTGTTTAATGGTGGAAATGTGCTACCCCCCCCCCTGCAGCCCAATTAAAGTGATGCTCCTTTCCCACAAACGCCCCATGGCAGCCAAATCAAGGATCTTGATTGTCATTTGGAATGCCCCATTATCCTGGCAGGACTTGGCATCTCCCCGAATGGCTCAAATAACCATATCCCAGGATAGCAGAACCTGCTAGAAGCAATTCTCTTTTCTTTGGAGGGCGTTCGTAGCAAGAGGCAGCCTGGTGCGCAAAGCAGAGGGAGGGGATGGAGAGGGAGGGGAGGGGTGAGATACATTCAGCCCCTCCCCACTCCTCCCAGTGTCTGTCATCTGGATGGCCTAGCAGGTCAATGTCTGGAATACTCCACCTGACTCTGTGGTTTCTTCCTCAAACCCCAAAAACTTTAACCTCAGACTGTCTACTGTTGACCTCACCCCATTCCTAAGAGGTCTGTAAGGGGCGTATATAAGAGCACCAAAGTGCCTACTGTCCCTGTCCTATTGTTTCTTTTTATTTTTCTTGTAAGTATCTATCTCATTTATTCAAAACTATGTTTATTCTTAAACCTGTATCTTGTAAGCGATTGACAAATCAAAGAAATACTAAATAAATACTAAATACTAGCATCTTCCTGCGGGTCAGTTGAGGTCCGCCTGGCCTCGGAGAAAGAGCAAGACAAAATCCCCGCATATATATATTTTTTTCTTGAAATGATAGCTCTGGTTCCTTTTCTTCACTCGGTTGGGCTTTCTATGCTAGGCCTACTTTGAGTAATGGGATAATCACGTCTTTCGATTTGATAGCAGGCTTTCCATCCCCAAAGTGCCCAGAGTGCTTTGCAAAAAGCGGTAGGCTGGGTGGAATTGGACATGACAGCTGCTTTGAGTCAAAAAATTGGAAAAAAAAAACCCTCAGTTGAAAGGGTAGCGCTTGAAGCTCTAATTTTAAGAAGGCTTTTGACAGTTTTGATAGAAAATGTGCACAGCTGGATCCACCACCATTTTGAGCAAGTGCAAGGATTGGCATTGTTGTGTGTTGTTGTTGTGTGGGCCTCCCATTGTACGATTAAAAGACTAATGCAAAGGGAGGATGCTGTGGTTTGTATAGTCAATTCTCCACGAGGGCCGTGACCAAAGGGATTATAAGGCAGCCAGGCGGCTGCCAAATCCAGAGAAGCAGCAAGATTTATAAGCAGAATATATCCCTGGATAAAGTTAGAATAGATCCTGATAGACCGTCAGCAATCTTGAGTGGACTGTAACCAAATCCCGGTGGAGCCATTGTGTGAGTTATTAAGGAAAAATAGTTTTAAATGCTGGCTGTGAATGTTATATTTCAGATTGCAATAATTAACTGCTCTTTCATTAGGCCAGTAACAGGGGAAGCAACTGGCTTTAAATACTAATTGATTGAGTTCCTGGGTTGTCATGCCTCAGCATATAACTTTTATATACTGTTGTTGCTTTCTAGCCCCATCTAGTGGCCTGAGGGATAAATGTGCCATAACCTATCCTCTTTATACACTGTTGTTGCTCTCTAGCCCCATCTAGTGGCCAGAGGGACAAATACTAAGTATATTGTTTGAAGCTGACCCTACCCCATTACTCATCAGCCCACACTCTCAAAATAAGTGCACACCGGGAAGCCAGACTCCATTTCCTTTGGCATTTGGAGAAGGCAGAAGTACAAAGAAAAATCCATCTTAATCTGTGGCACATGGTCAACCAAGGACAAACCCACATCCCACACACAGCATCACTGGTGAGATTTAAATTGCTTGTATTTATTAATTGTTATGTTCAGTAGTAATTTAATAGTGTCTGTCTTGTATTTGGTTCTCATTGTATGTATTCCTATTTTCCCCAGTTTCACCATATCCCGTTCCTTCAATAAAGCATTCAGATCTACGCACACAGTTTGTTTTATTGGAGGACAGGTGGGTTTAGCTGCATGTTGAACTGCATACAGACTAATGTGTAGTGAGGACAGAACAAAATGATAGGGTACTTGAAACATTTTAACCGATAGATCGTACATCACAACTCCTTGTCATCTGGGGTATGGTTAATGGACACAATATCTACAATGCCCCTTGTCTATCTATAGAAGATAATATTTATAGCTCAGGGTTGAATTGGGGAGTCCTTGGTGCTCTCTTAGCTTGGTTGTTTGTTTGAAGATGTTTCATTACCCAGCTAGGTAACAACATCAGTGCTAGTAGGTAGTGGGATTTGCTCTCTGTTAATATATAAGTGTCTTGACCTGCCAGTGTTGGTTGGAGAGGACTTGGTAGTCCCTTGATTAGGCTATTCTCCAAAGCACCTAAAGGCAGGATTAGTTTCCGTCCATGGCTTGAAGCAGTGGATGGAAGCAACAGATAGAAACTAATCAAGGAGAGAAGCAACCTAGAACTAAGGAGAAATTTCCTGACAAAGGGAACAATAAATTAGTGAAAACCTCCAGTGATGGAGCACCCACAACTTCTGAAGGCAAGCCATTCCATTGATTAATTGTTCTCACAGTCAGGAAATATCTCCAGGTTGCTTCTCTCCTTGATTAGTTTCCATCCATTGCTTCTTGTTCTGCCTTCAGGGGCTTTGGAGAAGAACGAACTCTGAACAGCACCTCAAGTACTTGAAAACTGCTATCTTGATACCTCCTGGTCCTTTTCTTCACTGGACTGGACATATCTTGTTGCTACCGTGTGATGAGATGGATGGCAAACACATTTAAGAAATAGAATGTAAACATGAAATAGTTCCCTCAATCATTCATCACATGGTTTAGCCTCTAGACCTCTCAGTCTAGGGCTTCCTTTGGTATTTTTTTCTCTCACGAAACTTTGAGGCCTCTCCCATCGTTCCTTTCAACATGCCGTAGTAGATTGATCAAACTAGTCGTCTTTTTCTGTCTAAGACATTTCCCCAAAGCGGCTCTTTTTAACAAAGGATGAAATGACCCTTCAGAACAAGAGCTGGTAGTTTATAAAGTAGCCAAGCATGCATAGGGTTGAGCAAAACCAATGAGGATTGATGTAATGCACTGGTGCATTAATTAAAAGGAGCTAAATAACTCGGTAATCAGAAAAAATAATAATCCTTTCCTACCTTTTCTTCAACCACACTCTAAAAAAATACACTTCTATTGATTTTTACTTCAATCATTTTACTAACCTATCTCTGTGGTATTTAGATAGATAATTCTGAATAGAATACAGAATAATTGAGTTGGAAAGGACCTTGGAAGTCCTCTAGTCCAACCCCCTCATTGAACAGGAGACTCCAATACAATTTCGGACAAATGGTTGTCCAATCTCCTTTTGAAAGTCTCAAGTGATGGAGAACCTATAACTGCTGAAAGCAAGTTATTCCATTGGTTAATGGGTCTCACCGGTAGGAAATTTCTCCTTAGTTCTAGACTACTTTCCTTGGTTGCTTTTGTTTCTTGTCTTGTCTTCTGGTGCTTTGGAAAATAGGTGGAAACCTCTTTTCTTTATAGGAAACCCTTCAAATATTGGAACGCTGCTATCATGTCACTCCTAGTCCTTCTTTTTCCCTTAGATTAGACGTACTGAATTCCTGTAACCATTCTTCATATGTTTCCAAACTTTGGGTGACTGATGTTAGAGATGAGGATGAGGATGAGAATAACTATAGAATAATAGCGTTGGAAGGGACCTATTTGAGCAGGGAACAGATTTGGAAGGGACCTTGGAGGTCTTCTAGCCCAACCCCTGTTTGTGCAGGAGATCCTATACCATTTCAGACAAATGGTTGTCCAGTCTCTTTTTGAAGGTCTCCAGTGATGGAGCACCCACAACTTCTGAAAACAAGCTATTCCATTAGTTGATGGCTTTCACTGTTCGGAAATTTCTCCTTAGTTCTAGGTTGCTTCTCTCCTTGGTTACTTTCAAACGATTGTTTCTTGTTTGTCTTCTGGTGCTATGGAATATAGTTTGATCCCATCGTCTTTGTGGCAGGCCCTCAAATATTGGAATCGTCCTATCATATTACCCACAATCCTCCCTTTTACTAGGCTAGGCATCCCATAGTACCATTCTTTGTACGTTTTAGTCTGCAGTCCCCCAATCATGGTTGTTGCTCTTCTCTGCACTCTTTCCAGAGTCTCAACATCTCTTTTATATTGTGGTGACCAGAACTGGGTGCGGTTTTCCAAGTGTGGTCTTACTCAGGCATTGTAAAGCTTTGTAGAATATTTGTAAATATTTTTAAAAACATGTTTTAATACAATATATTCCAAAGTAATATCATAAGCCCTCAAAGAGTTTTATAAGGGATTCTACGAAGTTCCACACAGAGTTATACCTGTGCAGGTAAGTTTGTAAGTTATTTATTTGTTAGTTGCTTTGCAATATTTTTGCTGTAGTGTACAATAATTTTCCCCCAAAACAGAAAATAACATAAAAATAAACATAAGTAAGATTTATGAGGTTGCCCAACACAACCAGTGTGACTTTGGACAGAGTACAGTAAAATAATAAATCAAAGAAGGTGAGGAAAACCCCATATAACAATAAACTATACAATATATCAATACAATATGCGAAATGGCAACCAGGCACACAACAGAACAATAGCAACACCGAGGAGATGTAAGGACACTTTTGCATGAAGCAAATCATTTCAAAGTTCACAACTATGTTAGAAGTTAAACTCAGAAGGAAGGGAGGGAGGAAGGAACGAGGAGAGGAGAAAATGAGGGAGAGAATGGGAAGGAAGGAAGGAAGGAAGGAAGGAAGGAAGGAAGGAAGGAAGGAAGGAAGGAAGGAGAGAGGGAGGGATTGGAGGAAGGGGAAAGGAAGGAAGGAGGAAGGTGGAAAGGAGAAAAAAGGATGGAGAGGGGAAAGAAAGAAACCAAAACTTAAACAAGTTTATCAGACCCATAATATGGTACGTGAGATATTCCTGGCTTCCACTTGAAAGTAGCATGATTCAAGGGGAACTGTGTGGTTTTCTCAAACATTACATCTGCTTTATGATTCTATGAAGCCAGGTTTCTCAATAAGTTGCTCAGCACATTATTTTGCTTATTTGTTTGTTTGCATACTTATTGATTTTTTTCGTTTACTAAACAGGTTGATATGGCCACGCAATGCATACCCAGTGATCCTTTAAACACTACTCCACAGTTGGATATCTTAGACAAAACCAGGGGTGAGATTCAACTGGTTCAGACTGGTTTGGGAGAACTCCTTGCTCTGAAGATCAGCTGCAATGAGCATGTGGGCCTGCCCAGCCATCCCTGCTCTTTCCTGTCCTTTACTTCCTTTTTTTAGAGCACAGCTGATTCGCACGGCGGAGCAGTTTGCCATGCCTCAGCTATTTTCTTCACAGAGACTGCTGTAGAAGGTAAGTATTATAGCTGCTTGGAATGCAGAGAGTGCACACGGAGCGTGTGATCACCGAACCGGTTGTTATACTGGTGGAATCCCACCTTTGGACAAAACTCAGATGCATTTAGTAATTAAAAGAAAAGGAGAATGTAAAGCTTTAGAAGGCACACCGTATGTTTTAGCCTCCAGTCCCCTAATCGTCCTGGTTGCTCTTCTCTGCACTTTTTCTAGAGTCTCAACATCTTTCCTTCCTTCCTTCCTTCCTTCCTTCCTTCCTTCCTTCCTTCCTCCTTCCCTCCCTCCCTTCTTTGCCATGGTGGCGCACTGCAGGCCAACTCTGTCCACTGTCTGGAGTTCAATCTTGACTAGCTCAAGGTTGGCTCAGCTTTCTGTCTTTCCAAGGCCTGTAAAATGTGGACCCAGAATGTTTGGGGTGAGATGCTGACTCTGTAAACTGCATAGAGAGGGATGTAAACACTATGAAGTGGTATATAAGTGCAGTTGCTATATTGCTCTCATGTCTCTTTCTGATTTCCCCACCTAAAAAGCCCGTTCTTTTCTTCTTTTCCAGCACCTGTGCACTTAATTAATTCAACAGTTAAGACAAGATTTCACTCTAAATTGTCAACACATCTTTACAGAGCCCTTTTGATACCCTAACCCAAATGCATCTGTTTTCCTTTATTTTTTTTATTTAAAAGAAAAAAGAAAAGAAACATTAAAAGTAGGAGGATGATATTTCAGCCAAGTTGATCCTGCTTGAAGTCAGCTTTTCAAAGATAAATCTCAGTTGCCCCAAAGCCTCCTGGCACCTTTCTTTGAGAATCTTGGGTTGATTTACACAAAACACTTCATTGCTATAAATCAAAAAGACACACATTCCATTGATTTACACCCAGCTGTTGTTTATGAGGCTCTGAATGTTCTCAGGTCAGAAATAATCTTCAAAGAGTGATCCTTCTGAATTTTAGCAGTTCTCTCCTTAGAAAAAGAAGGTGGAAAGGAGGAGGAAGAGGAGGAAGAAGAAGAGGAAGAGGAGGAGTTGATTCTGAAATTTCATTTCAGGGAAAATGATTAATCGGTCGCATTTTACAATATAAGAATCATTCATGGGTGGAACTTGAAAAGTTTAATTGATATAATAATCTCTGGAGCTGTTTCAGGGTCAAGATTGCTTGCTGCTCCAATAAGGTAGAAAACTCTACCTTTTTATCTTCGTGATCGAGCTACAGACTGCCTCTAACTTAAAGGTTTTTGACATTCATGGAGCTTTCTAAGATTGGTTGTTACTTAGCAGACATTTCATTACTGAACTAGGGATTATCATTAGTGCTAGAAGGAAGAACAGGAGGAGGAGGAGGAGGAGGAGGAGGAGGAGGAGGAGGAGGAGGAGGAGGAGGAAGAAGAAGAAGAAGAAGAAGAAGAAGAAGAAGAAGAAGAAGAAGACAAGTTGTTGGTGTTCTTTTAGTGTTTTCTTGTAGATGTTTCATGACCCAAGTAGCTCACATTATCAGTGCTAGAAGGGAGTGGAGATGTGGATAGGATGAGCAGGAGAGGGAGGGGAACAGGAATAGGAGGAGGAGGAGGACTGGGTGATCCTTGATGCTCTCTGAGCTTGTTCTTTTTTTTCTTGTAAAAAAGTGGGACTAGAACTCACAGTCTCCTGGTGATTGTCTCAAAATAACCCTGTTGGCTTTGGTGCCTATGGTGGGATTACAATTCATGGTCTTGGTTTCTACCCATAATCTCTATTGTAAAGTGCTTTGAGATGTTGGAAGTTGGACGTTGTATGTCAATCTATGTCAAGAAATAAAGGAATATTATTCTTTACATTAAAGAAGATGACTATATTTCCCCGAAAATACAACCTTCCCCAAAAGTAAGTCCTAGTTTGATGTTTACAAATGCACCCAATATAAGCCCTACCCCTCCAAATAAGCCCTAATTAAGACCCCGCCCACTCCAGGGTGCACAGGTAAAAATTAAGCTAGGATGGGGTAGGGGGTGGAGTTTCCCTACTATTTACCTTTGGACAGTTGCAGCCCCAATACCTTTCTTCTGCAGCTGACAAGGCTTTCCTAAAGGCCTCTATAGCAGTGGTGGGATTCAAAAAATATTACTACTGGTTCTGTGGGTGTGACTTGGTGGGCATGGCAGGGGAAGGATACTGTAAAATCCCCAATCCCTCCTCACTCCATTAGCCTGCTTTCCAGCTCTGTTCTCCAGTGCAGGGAAACAAAAGAAGACCCAGCTGATCAGCTGGGACTCAAGAGGCAGAGAAGAGATGGGGGCGGGGCCAGTCAGAGGTGGCATTCCAAACTATTCAAAATGTCCATTACTGGTTCTCCGAACTACTCAAAATTTCCACTACTGGTCAGAACTGGTCAGAACCTGCTGAATACCACCTCTGCTCTATAGCTGATAACAGAGCTCCAGATCAATCTGGAGCTCCATTATCAGTTACAGAGGCCTTCAAGAAAGCCTTGCAGGCCTTGCTGACTTCAGAAGAAGTTCCTGAAGGCCTCTAACAGTGAAAAGAAGGCCAAGGTAACGCACACAATCGAGTCTGACTCACAGATGAACACAATACAGAAGCTTGATGATGGCAGAGGAGATTCTACCGAAACATTGCTACAACTTTAAAAGCACAACTACAATGACGTGGCAAAATACCCGAGCAAAGCTGAATGCCATACATGTAAGTACCAGTGAAAACTTAAGAAAACAAATATACATATACATATACATATCATACATACATACATACATACATACATATGACAGATAGAGATAGATAGATAGATAGATAGATAGATAGATAGATAGATAGAT